GTCATCAAACATGTACCGTAAACATAAGTGCAAGTGGATTAAACTCAAAAGCTGAATGAAAGGATAACACGATAAACGCATGGGAGCTGTCATACTGTTTGTTTTCTAAGCTATAAACTAAACTGGAATTAACAATGATAGGAGGAAGTTAACAGACAATATATAGAGCAAGTGCTCTAAACTACACTCGGCGTATAAGACGACTCAATTCCTAAGTATTTAAATTTTAGTAATTTATCTGGTAATCTTTTACATATCGATTTGCCTTTTCCTCATCGGATGCTCAGGCCACAGTTTCTCTGCATAATGCAATGAACGTTTCCGGCAACCTCTGCGATGTTACTTCGGGCATCTCAGCTGGGACTGCGGGTGTCGCGGGGGCTCCTGTTCTTCATCTTCTACAGCCTCCGACAGCTGGAATATTCCTTTCCGGCTACTATCCCCTTCCTCACTCCACGCCAACTGCCACACAGCCTATGTGACTCACGGACTTGCATCTCTGCCCTCCCCCACTTTCCGCACATGCATGATGCCCGTGTGCCTATACACGCCCATAATTAATCTATTTTCTTCTGCCCCTCATCTGGCTTTGGCTTTCCCAATGAGAAGCTGCCTAATGGATGGATGGCTGATATCTGTTTTCGATTAGGTCGACTGATTTATCCTTTGGGCAACAAGATAAGAAGAAATAACGTTTTCCTTGTTTGGTCTCGGATCCCGAAGAAATTATTTGATCCATCATATGAATGGTAATCCATCTCCGTTGGCCTAAGGGTGCATTTTTTGCAGGCATTCACTTTGCCTTGGTGTTCCTTGTGGTTGTCTCTTCTCTCCATGCTGATTGAATTCTCCTTATTCACAAACTCTCGCTATACTTCCTCATCACCGATTCGTCAGTATGCATTTTTTTCTTACGAAGGATTCCTATGACACATACCCCTATTGTTCTATCCCTGTATTATTATGTTTCTCTGATTTTTTGTTGTCTGAACTAACGATAAATTGCTAGCCAGAACTCAGCCTTCAATTCATTCATGGTACCAGTGTACGCTTGGCACATCAGACCCAATGTGTGAATAAGTATTATCCTGGTCGCCTCGTTTCGTTCTCGGACTTACATGATGAAACGCGGAGGGAATGAACAGGAGGACACTGGCTTGTTTGTTAATTCATTTTAATATCGGCCCCCTTCTTCCTCGACCCTTCGCATGCCGATCCGTTCATCATTCAGGCTGTGAATCCATCCATCACCCTACTTCGTTACTATAGTCTCTTTTCATCCTATAATTCATATGCTTTTGCTTATTGAATTCTTAGGTCAATTTCTTTTGCATGTCCTGCAGACATGCCAATTTTAATCCTACTTTTTCCTTTCACTTAATAAAATTCGTCACTTTCTGTAGCTATACTCTTTTAATCCACAAGTCAACACACCTGACGCAGCACACCGCATAAACCACAAGCTCCTCCCTTAGCCTTGCTATTCTGCTGGGCCTCCGTCTATAGCCACTTTAACAGACTGCTATCATCGCTTTTCGTTTATTTCTCATTAAGGCGGTGATTTTAGCTAAGGATATCTAATGGTACCTTATACTTACGAGTTTATTTTGACTCGGTCCATCCGTGTCCCTATTTTGTATACCTAGTTTTATGTTTCCTTTATACTATTCGTTTCGACCGGTGGGTTATTGTGTTGTTCATACATTCTCACATTCAATGTTTTAAATCATATTTTCGGATCTGCAAAGCCTCCCTTTATATGGAGTGGAGGGGAGGAATCGGTGCTTTTCTCTTTGCACAGCTCACACGAGCCATTGTATCTGCCTGCGCTAGCCTGTATGTGCCTAAGTGTTCGAGTTAAATTCCCTGTGGTCTGATTGTACATCGGCTTCCACAGCTTGTTGGCATTTGTCCATTTCTGATCTCATCCTTCTGAACCAACTAGAATTTTCGTAATGTGGGGGCGAGACTTGGAACCTAAGCCCTTACTATAGGCCCTTGGAGACCCCTATATACACTCAACTCCGCCCCAGAAGGTAGCCTAATTTACCTTTGACATTGATCATTCTCCATACCCCTCTTGTATCTTACCTACATGCCATTTTTTCTGGTCTACTGGGGAAGGCTGAAGAAGCGGTCAACATATACTCAACTACACGGAGCATCACGTGATCACAAACTGCAGCCTTGTGTTGACTTGTGAACCTCGGACCGCATTCGCCTATTGTTATTTCAGACGTGTGTTGCTCTTTTCATTCCCATCTATTCTTCTCTCAACTTTCTTATTCTCACTTCCACTCCATCCGATAGCACAATCAGGCCGACTTACGTATGGTGAAATTATTTTCCTGTAGTCAACTAGGTACTTCCAGCGCAGAATGTTTTATTATTCTATCCTCGCCCCTTCCTATCTAAAATACAAGTTTATGCACGCAAAATGCGCCGAGATCTTTTGATTTTAGAAATATTTCACTCGCACACAGATCATTGCTGAGTCCATCATGATGTGGTCATTGATGAAAAATTATTCTAAGGGCATCTTCAATTTTATCTCGGCTCGTCAAATATGACTTTCCGAAATGCATTCGCACTTTCTTAACTAATTAGACCATTTGCTTTTGACGCCAATGCATCATGTATAAATAATTCTACACCTGTACCTCTACCGTAGTACCAATTTTTTCACGCTCTTCTATTCTTTGCATTTTCTGTATTTGCTTTTAACTTAACAATCTCACCCTTCTCATGCCGTGGCACGTAGTATTACGATTTT